TATTAGATGCATGAATAGGGATGCCAAAAAAATCTGCATATCAAATCTGACCTAATGACTTAACCTTGAAGGCAAAAGCAAGAAAAAAACACCTCTTTACTTCACAGGTCAGTTTCTCAGGGAATATTTTGATAAAGCCGTTAAAACTTCAAAGGCCCTGTTTGGGAGAGACCTCTGATTCAAAGGGCTGAAAACATATTTTATTGTACTGTAAACAAAAGTGCTGAAAATGGTCATATGACCTGTTTCCCTGAGCTTGAATCAAACTAATCCTGCTAAAGCTTAGAAATATGCATGACTCAGTAGCCAAAGCCATGTGCGTATTTGCCCTTGCAAAGTTGCTGCCACCTTTCAATTGTCCAAAAGTGCTGTGTTGCTGATCTCCAAACAGCCTCTAGGGCTTTAGTTCTCTTTCCAGAAAAGAACTCAAAACACTGCATCCTGAACTTTCTATTAAAATAGATTTTTACAAACAATTTTGAAATCTATCATGTATATAGCTCCTATCTGGATAAACTAGAAGTACACTCAGCAACTTATGTTATTATGACTGCAATTCCACTACTTTCAAAACTTTTATTTTTTTCCCTACTCTCTCACTACTGATTACCTACCCCATTATCTACTCCACTCTTCCATCTTCTAATGAGATTAACAGTATTCTGTAACTATTTACTACACAATCTCGGCTGCTCTGGAATGAAAGGAATGTTAACTCTAAAAAGAAAAAAAATAAATTAAAAAATGGTACCATGTGCCTAGAAGGATGATGGAATGATTTGAAATCTCAGTGCAGGCCTAAATGCACTAGGTTTCAATTATCAGAAGCAAATAACCACATATGCGCTATCCAATTTCCAGCCTCTCAGCTGTAAAATGAAAATGATACCTTCCTAAACGATGCAAGAGCACAACACGTCAAATACTAAAATCAAAACCACACATAAATATCAAGTAAACTAAACTCTACTATTGCAAGAAATTGCCAAGATTCAGAACAGAAAACTTTTTTTAGCACCTTTATGAGTGTCAGCCAAGAGAGGACAGCACAGAGCATAAGCCAGTTCCTACGAGCAGTTCTCCCAAGACTGAAATTGGTGCAAGCTAGAAAGAAACTTGCAGGCTACTCCATATGGCACACCAATGTTTTCCAATTCATAAAACCACCATCTTTTACAGCAAAGACCTCTAAGATAAGGTACTAAAAAAAGATAAGGAACTGGACAATCTTTGAGATGTTCTGTCCCCATAATTCACATACATAAATGCCAGTGCTGCAGCAGTGTCGACAAAGACATCACACACTCATTCCCTGCCTACTTCAGAGAGAGATGTTTAACACCAAAAAAAAAAGGAGAAAAGCTTCTAACCTTCACTTTCTCAGCACCACAGATTATTAAATAATAATCAATTTCAATTACTCTGTAATAGAAAACCCTTGTGGTTGAAAGAGGAGAGAATGGAAAAGTTTGTCCTGCCCCTGCACACTGTGGGCGCAGCAAACAACAAAGGAAAATGTCTAGCCCTGTAAAAATAAGTCTTAAAACAAAAGGAAGAACAGTAAAATCTGTTTCATTCCATACAATGAAATAGAGTACAATTTTCAAATACCAACATGAAAATGGCAGAAACAAATTCTAAAACATTGACAGGTACAAAAATAATTCATAATTTCTCAAAGTAGTATTACATTCTTATTTATTCTTATGCTCCTTAAATGTACCAACTTCAATGAGCAAGAGAGTCAGTGGATTCTAAACACTTCTCAATGCTGCAAACTGGCATATATACATTCCTTGTTAGGGCTCCTTCTGGGTGACCCCTGGTATCTTCAAAAAACATACTTAAAAGATCAATGCATTACCACTTTGTACCTTGGCACACACAGTGGGAAGTTGTAAATAAAACCAGGAACGATTCCATTTCCTGGTTGTGGAGATTTTGCTTTGATATTAAAATAAATAAATACTAGGTGCATATATAAGGGCACTTTAAATGTTTTTAAGGTTACAGACCTTTGAATATTTCAGAAATTTACTACAGACTACACCTGTATACCTATTTGTATTTACACATCCACAAAACTCCAGGGAAGTAAAGTTTTAAAACAGATCTGAAAGGTCTGTGAAGCCACTCAGCAGCCTTGTGAGTCACACCTGCACTCTCAGGGTCAGTGCCAACATAAAATTTGCATTTTTTTTCTGTATTCACTGTGCAATTGATGGCATGCATCACAGCATTCAAGTTTCTAGTGCTGAGCTAATTTGAATCTCAGACTAGACCATTCAGTTTCTTAACTCCAGTAAAACTTACTTTCTATCCTGAGCAAGGCATAAGAACTCATCACTGATGAACATAAATAGTTGCATCTGGACACTGAAAAAAGTGCATACAACTCTCTTTTAACCCTTCTAGCAAACATATTGAAGGAATTTTTTGGTGGTACTTTAATTCCTGCATATTCAGATAAAGTGATCTTGTATCTTTATGGAAGATATTTTTATGCAAGACATTTACCATCCTTATATCCTGGAAGCTATTACTTTTTAGCATATGGTATTCAAATTCACAAATAACAAGTTACTATTATAAAAAAAATGGCATTTTGGGTTTTGCCATTGGAACAGATTTTAATGTACTATGATTTCAAGTGCAAATGCACTAAAAGATGCATGTGTACAGGAAGATATTTTAAACAGTTGTTCTTTATAGACCCTGCACTTGGTATTTCATGAACAGAATGCTGAGGAAGACATTTCACTCTAGACAGTTATGCAAAGATAAATTAGTTGAAGATGTAGCCTATACTTGCAATATTAAAATGTAAAGAACCATCTACTCAACTACTTCACATGTTTCAGTTGGAACCAACTTTTCCTGGTTTCTTTTGCTTTTTAAATAACAGTGTTAAGCTGTTAACTTAAGACACATTGCTTGCCCTTGCTGCTGCCTTTTCCTTTCTCTGTGACAGGATTCCTATGGACATCCACAGAGTTATCTCAGTGTGCTTCATCAACTGGAACTAAAGCCAACCAAGTGACAGATCATTTTTGCCAAAATCTAGTAAGCCCTGGAAGCAGCTCAAAACAGAAAACTCAAGTAGGAGCCCCGAGTAAAATTGGGCAAAGCTGTCCTAGAACCAAACCATCTGCCATTATGTAAAGAATCCTTCACAACTAGGAATCTCCTACTCTCCCTATTTCCAGCTGATAAAAGATATGCCAGACAATAATGTAAGGTCCAAAAGGCCAGAAAAAGACTGACTGAAGCCAATATAACGAATATCTCTACTTCATAATCTGGGTTGACAACAAAAAATTCCAAGATCGGAGAACTTAGTGAGTCAGAAACCCAAGAACATTCCCTCCAAGTATGTACTTTCAATCAATTGTACACCTGGATATTTAGTAGTTTAATCCGAATTTCCTGGGAAATGTCAGGCAAAACAGTGAAAACTGTTGCCAAAATCAAAACACTGAATCTATTGTTTATTTTAAACCTTCTTGTTGTCATCTTCTAGAAAGGAATTAGACCTGCTTCACAAGACCATTCTTGAAATTTTCTTAGCTATTACTCCCCTTCTCTTCTGTCAGGTACAAGCTTGTCCGCCAGTTCACTGTACGAAAAACGCACACAAATTAGGCTGACAGATGTTTAATATACATTTTCCACAATGCATCCCTCTATGCTTATCTAGCCATCTCTTGGCTACCAAGACCAGTCTTTCAAAACCAATACTGGAAATCCATCTGCCTCTGTATCCATTGCTTAGTTTGGTATAAATTTCAAGGTCAACACACAGCTAGCAGGTTCCTCTTCCATCAAAATAACTGTCTTTGTAAAATACTTACTGTCAAACAGCATTAAAGTCTCTATTAAAACAAGAAGGGGCCTAGGGAAAAATTACTTTGGAAACCACTCTTCTGGCTTCCAGAAACTCATTTAAAATACTTGATCAATACAAACAAAAAACCAGGATTCACTGTTCTCACAAGCACCAGATACTACAAAGCAGCTGCCTTGCTTTGGATCAGAAGGAGCCTGGCATTACGTTCTGTTTTGTATTGAGCTGCTCTATGTTGAAAGCTGTCAAATCAATCAACAAAAGGGTTGGTTTGGTAAGTTACAGAAAAAGTGACATTTTACATAATCTCTGCTGCTTATCTATTACTGTAACTGTTATTTTCCTTTTGTAGCACCACAAAGATGAGATAGTAATGAACTGAAAAGGCAAAGGAATGCAGCTGATAGAAATTTCCATCCCTCCTTTCAATTTCAAGAGACAATTGATTGACATAAGTCAATGCACCCAACTTCATTCTCATAAATACTAGTCACAAAACCAGAGTCACATCCTATCCAAAGGAAGAGAAAATAGCAATTCTCAAGCTGATCAAACATTAATGTCAGTAGGTAGAGTAAGCCCCAGTTTAGGATTTACTGAAAATGGGACTGTGTTCCATCTATGCACCAGAGATAAAGCAATAGCACATGACAGAGTTGCCAGCCATTACATCATATATTGGACAAATATTTGTATATATCATTGAGTGTCTCCAACAAGTTGAGCTACAAAAATTAAATTTGCATAATATTGCAAAAATTCCCAGGAAACAGCCAGACAAAAACCTAACATGTAACAGCCTGCAACATGTGCCAAAAATATATCTATGCTGAAAGAGACATCAAGTAGTTGAAGAAAAAGCCCTTAAATACAAAAATCGAACACCAAGGGAAAGGCTTGAGTTAGATAAGGGAATCTCTGAAACCTAGATAAGACAACAAAATATCTGTGTTCTACCTACACTTGGGACTCTATAAAAAAAAAAAAAAAAAACGTAGCAAGAACAGGTAAAATGAAAAATACACTGCCTGCTGGGTCAACACAAAATTAACACTGTCAAATGTAGGAGGGCAAAAGTTCCTTCCTAGTTTCACTTAATACACAAATTAACATAACTCTTACAAACATTTAAGTAGAAAATAAAAATAGAATTTACCTTTAAATGTCTCCAGTTCCTTCCTGTTGGAGAAGAGCAGAATTAAAAAAAATAATTAGAAATACCACATGTAGAGCTACAGGATTTATTTTACATGCTTTAAGACTCACTAAAAGACAAAAATCAAAGAATTTGACTGTCACCATATATATCAGTAATATTACTACATGTGTTTACCTAGGGCAAACAAGATCAATCTGTTTTAAATTAGGCCACCACTTCTTTATAAACATGTACAGTTATACAAATTCTGCACACTTATATCTAGCTACATAATTTCCAGATACACTGCTCCAAAAATAACCAAGACTTCCTAAGGCATTAGTTACTAAAGCATCCTTTACTTAGCAGAGATTTACCAATTTACAGCACAGTGAATAACAATTTTTGTTCCATTTTTATCAATGCTACTCAAAAACATCTTTGCAACACTGAAGCAGAAAAATTTGACAATATCACTCAGTTAAAAGAGAAAGACAGGCAAGGAGACATACAGTCACATTCCTCAGAGGAGAGGATTTTCAAGTATGGAATATGACACATAACCCACAGTACCCATGTACCAGAAAGCTTAAGAAAGGAAGAAAAAGATAAGAGTATCTTTTTCGCCTTTGTACCAGGCCACTTTCTACTTTTAGTGGTTACGCAATTGTGAATGCAGAGGCTATAAAATGAACAGCAATATCTTCTCTGTTTTAAAGAAATTGCAAAATGCTCCAACTGCCATTACTACAACGTAGTGATTCATCATGAATTTTAAGGCCAAAGAAGAATCAATGTAATAACTGAGATAAGGCAGAATGCTGGCCTTACAAAACACTCATTTAAATCAAACATTTTTTCAGTCTGCACCTCAGAGAATGCCTAGTTAAATTCTGAATTCAGAAGAAAAAGCGACTGTAAGAAAAATAAATTAAAGACTGAATTCACAGTTGAGCAGATAAATTATTCTATTCTCTATCCACTGACTAAAGCACTCTTCAGTCACCTATCAGAGACACTGTTTCACAATGCAGATGCTATACCTTAATAACTCCTTCTATCCCTTAACACATGATGCAATTCAGCATTTATTCTTGCATCAAGTACAGACAAAACTCACTCAAAGCTGAAATAGTTTAATCTCTAAGCAGGCCAAAATATTATAAAAGAAGAAAGAGAATGCATTTACCTCCACATTTTCAGAGAACATCCCACTTTTGTCACCAAATGTTAAATACAGGTTTTTGAAAGAATGGGTGCTTTACCAGGAAATAGGCTAGAGCGTGATTCACGGTACAGAATTCTCTTAGTTGCAACTTCCTGTGAGTATCTGTTTCCTTTCCTGCTTTTCCCCCATCCCTTTCCCAAGCTAGTTTCTCCCTGTTATATCAGAGAAAAAAGCTACTTTACAATACCTGTGATTTGCAAGTTCACATCCCAAAAATTTTTTCCTAGCCTGTATACTCTAAATAGAGTTACAAAATTCTTAAACACTCTCACAAGTTGCTATCCTTTTTTTTAAATAATGGAACAGTAGTTGAGGAGACAACAATCACAGGAAATGGTTGCTTTCCATGGACTGAAACAAAACCATAGAAGAAACATCTTGCGAAAGTAAGAGGGGAAAAACTACATTACTTGCACCAAAAATCAGGAGATTTTATGACACATGTCTACAAAAGGAAAGATGAAACAATTACTGCCATTGTGTCCAAAGAGATTAGTAAACAAGATGGTAATACAGTAGCCAAGTGACAAATCACTCATTTTGTCTAAACCCCCAGAAATTTCCTTTTCAAAATCCATCGATATTTTTAGGGTTGAGATGCACTAAGATGTTGTTCCTATATCCATATACATAATTACCATTTATTAAGAAAGTTGGAAATTAATATTTGAAAAAAACTTCTTTCCCTCTGAAAAATTAAAAGTATCTATGATTAGTATACAGTAAAAATACAGACTTGAAATGTAAGGATCTGTACTTCCTAGTATCCTCATACCAATTCAGATCCAAAGACTGAAGATTTTATATTTTACACAGCACGAATTAATCATCTCTTGTGGTTTCTCACAAGACTTTCAATAAAACTTTTATTTAGAAATACATAATGAAGTACATGCTTACTGAAACCACGTTCAGCATCAGCAACATGAAAGATTGTTTTTTATTCATGAAGTCAAATTATCCAGATAAAAACTTGGAAGTTTAAAAATTTTAATCCTTAATCTCATTTATCAGCAGCTTTGGTAAGAACATGACACTAAACTGAGAAGCGGAAAGGAAACTGACTTGTGATGACATTGGAAAAACAAATGGCTTAAGAGTATATACCCAACATTTTCTAGTTGGGTAATTAACACCTGGCACACAGATGTACAGAGAAAAACATATAACAGAGTATTACACTTCTCCCTTTTACAAGTAAATAAATGTTTTTGTATTTACTGATAAACTGCCAGAAGGAAGATACCTCCTTTGTCTTCTGTAAGAGTCTAGTGACAAAAGGTCATCTGCAGAATACACTGACCTCACATTAAGAATTGAACTTCATATTTGGAACACAGACAAAGTAAAGAAACAGCAATTTGGAAGAGTAATTAAAATTAAAAGGATCAAATTGAAAGCAGTTTTAGAAAAGTGGCCTTCAAAGCAAGGTTAAAAGACAAGCAGGAGGAAACAAACACGGCAATTGAAAGCATTCCATAGGGAAATGCCCCTGGATTTTAAAGAGTTTTCATCCAAAAGAACATTAATGCACTTCACAGATGGATGAGATAACCCTTTCCACTACTATTAGAAGGAAAACACACACCTGCCTTGCCTCTGGCCTCTCTACACATGAAGGCGCTTGTGGGCTGCTCAGCATCTGTCCAGGATTAAAGGAGCTCCCATGCTGAGTCTGACCACTGAGCAATACAACTACCTGGCATCTGACTATATGCTCTTCAGCTACTAAATTTTAGGTTACTGATGGAAAAACCTGGCTAGTTACTCATATAAGAATACATTTTACCTTTTCATAGTTAACAGTAAGCTTTCAGAAGAAAGGACTAAATTAGGAGGCACATTATAATATGAATAGCTTTTTTCAGTGAAAGACAAAGTTCAGCACCTCTGAGCAAGAAAAAAAGGCTAAAATAACAAGCTAAAGTCTAACATAATCAGACTATAAAGGCATGGAGACACTTCAAAAGTAATCTCGTTCTGTATGCAGAGCAATTTACAAATTTCAGACTCCTTCTTGAGAGGCAAGAGGCTGTACAGTCTCCATTAACACTGAAGTTATGTCCATGAAAACAATCTGGCCACACATGCAGGCAATAGTGTTAATCCCTGCCTTTCCAGTTGCTTGTTTTCATAAAATAGATGGGGGGAGGGGCACTGAATTACTCTGTGAAATTCTGTACACATCAAACTCAGTTACCAGTTTTTAAGATACCTGGAATGTTCTGATGATGATGCTGTCAGTGGTCTCAACTTCTTCATTTACAGAAAAGTTAAGATTCAGGGTGTGTGGTAAGAACATATAATTGTGGAGCCAACAGGTGAAACAAATAGTCTACAACATATGACTTGTCCCACAGGGTATCTGACGTGACCAATTAGAGTTACAATCTAGTTAGAAGGCAGATACAAATTCCCAAGGACCTTCCCATTCCCCTCAGGCTTTTTATTGCACTGTTGGATTAACCCTGCTCCAGCCACTGAGCAGATGAGATGGACACTAGGAAGACTGTACTGGTATCACTGACATACAAAAATAAACCTAGGAATCAGAATATGGGAGGACCAGGAGGCTTAACTATCCTGCTTTAAGCTACTGAGATCAAAGGGAATTTAATTTGTTTAGCAACAGTAAGAAAAAAAAAAATTCTCAGGTTCTACTGTATCTTGCAAAGGGCTGTAACACTAAGATCAATTTCCTAAGTGTAACTAAACATCAAGGAATCCAGTTAAATACCTAGGAAACTATAGAAACACCACATTCCTTACAAAGATGCCACCAGCCAGAACTGACAGAATTTCTTACTTGATCTTCAAGAAGAAAACAGGCAGATAAGAAAGCAACAGAGTCCTAAATTAATGTCAGGAACAATTTTACAACACGGGCTCTGAAAGTAACAGTCAATAAACTCCAACTACTAGACTCATCTATAACAAAAGTCAATATCGAGACAGAATATAAATGCTAAAAATTGAGGATTGAATTTGAAAGATTTTACAATTATATGTGTTAATAAGCGTTGAGTCATAAATACTATTTACAAAAAATATATTTGAAGAAAGTATAGACGCTTATCAGCAAATTAATATAAAAATAGTTATGGCACCTAACACTATCCAACCCAGAGACTAAGAAATGCTGCATTTTCTCTGCTATGTCTGGTACAGTTAAGTCTTCAAAATTATGTATTAAAAAAAAAAACCTTCCATAGCCTGACTCATGCTTTAGTAAGCTAAAAAGCCAGGAGATCTCTCCTCTGGGACTTTCCTCTGGATGTCATCAGAAGTAAAAGCCAAAATATGGAGAACTCAAAACCTATGTCACTTGTACGGTGCACAGAAATAATTTAAGTGCTTTTTTTTGTAGTTAGGATTAGCACTTTTGTGAATCCTGACATAAAATTGTTTTCCCCATCCCTGAGATTGGTTGAGCACCCCTTGGAGACACTTAGGCCAATTACTACTTTGAAATACACTTGAGACTGAAGCAATGAAAAGCCTTTAAGTATTGAAAAATTAGTAAAAACCAACGCTATTACTGAACTACTGCTGGAATTGAACTGCAGGCAAGGGTTTCTATTCATCTGACAAAACACTGAAGACAGGTCAGAATTCTCCACCATCAAAAATGACATTTTATCCACTAAAAGAGAAGAGCAGAGAACTAAGGCATTTCAATAATATTGCAATGGAGATTTTTCTTGCTTCCATACTCATGCAGATACAGAGGTAGCTGAAGTCAGTTTTCCAGCACAACTTCTATGTTAAGTTCAATCCAAAAGATGGAACTGATTCCAGCATTTTTTGGCAACA